CACACACACACACACACACACACGTGACACACACACACGAGCGCAAACATACTCACTCCCCCCTTCCCCTTCTCTCTCAAAGTCCAGTGCCACTAACGGTCGTCCATGGAGTTAGTCAAAACGAGTCAGGTCTCAAGTCGCTGAATTAACAGACGTCGCGTAACAAAGTTTTGCAGATTTATAAGTTTTGTTTTGTTTTAGTAGAGGTTTTACGGCGTTCGCAACAGCATAAGGTCACATGAGCTCCAGAAGATTAGAGGTGTTACATTACAAGGGTCAAGGGAGTAACACACATAAAAAAGAAGGAGGGGAGATAAAGACGATAGATGTTTGATGGGAAGGAAGGAGCAAACCACACCAGAGCACACGCCAACCACCCACATATTACGTTTAAGTGTCGAATTCTGTGTGTCATGTACATTTGTACTTGGGTAGGAACAGGAGCCGATAGTGTTCGTGCTGTATTGACGGTGCCCATGTTCATGTTCCAAGTAGCCAGTGCATGTCAGTTGCAATGAGTGCAAATTATTTATTATCGATGCTCTGCGCGCGCATTAATCAAAATTAAACAGAATGGCATTGGAAGACAATTTTGTACGTTAAGAACATGTTCAAATTAATCCATATTTATTTTGGATATATACGATTACGATAATACAAGTAATATGAAAAGAAAAGAAAGAAGGCAAGAAAACCTTCAAGACTTACCTGTCTGTATTGGTAAAGGTATCATCAGATACTAGTGACTGCTAGCGTTACCATTCAACAAAAGGAGACATAATTAACAGCTGTGTTGTCAGTGACTTCAGCCCATTTCTTACATGCGGCAGGACGTTATACATTTGTTCTTATACTTTTACACCGAGATTGAAGATAAATGTCTGCCTTTTTCGCCGAACCCCGACTGGAAAGATGGAAAGATCCAATCTGGATCAGATTTCACCCGATGCATAATGTCATGGCTTACACTGCATAATATTTCTATACACTAGCTAACAAGTTGAGAGCTCTCTCTCTCTCTTTCTCTCTCTCACACACACACACACACTGTTGAATAATCTTTGGACGAAACCTTGAAAGTAGGCCTACATGCACATGTGTTTAAGAGTTCAATCTAAGGGATCTTTTTAATATAGTCGACAACACAGCAACCTGTCATATACGACAGACAATAAGGTTTTGTTTGTTTGGTGAGTAAAGATGGGGCACATCTACACTATTCCACTACCAGTCATTTAGTGTGGGAAAAAAAAAAAGACAGACGGAGAGAAGAAACAACAGAAGGAAAAAAGACTCATGAGCTGAGTTCCATTGGCTGTCAGTAATACATGTACATGTAATAGCTGTGAGAACAGATCAAAGGAAACAAGATGACATTGGGGGGGGGGGGGAGACGCCATCTGATAAACAAAACAAAATATCAAAAAAGGAACCATGACATCTCAAGAAGAAACACGAGCATCCAGAAAAGAAACACAATGACGTCAAGCAACTTGTCTAGAGTACTCTCAACTTATCATTGGTTTCAAATCAATATATATGACCTTTGTGTTGATTTTTGGCCGATGTCTCCATTCATGAAGAAACTCGTTTTGTCAGCACCCCTCACATATTCTCCAATGATAGTGGTTTGTGGGTTTGCACAGGAAGCCTTCAGCTGATCATAGCTGAGCGGACAAAAAGTTCTTAGCAAAGGAAGTGAGACCACGGCTACCATTTACTATTATCATTATAAAATATAATACAAGTGTTTTGTCTGTTTGTTTGTTTAAGTAAAGAGAAGCATATCAACACAATAATGGTAATTAATTAGTGTTAGGAAAAAGTAAGACATTTACTTTACTTTTAGTAGAGGTTTTACGGCGCTCGCAACTGCATAAGGTCAAATGAGCGCCAGACGATAAGAGGTGTTACAAAAGAGTAACAAACATAAAAAAGAAGAAGGGGAGATAAGGACCATAGATGTTTGATAGGAAAGAGGAGCACCCGCCAACCACCCACAAAAGTAATACAGAAACAACAGAGGGAAAGTAAAGAAGTAGGACCTACAAGTACATGTAGCACCCTCCAACGGCACAAGTGTATAGCTACCAACTTTTCAACAAACAAACAAACAAAAAAAACAACAACTCTACCCACACCTCATGTCAAGATGGTGGGCACTGACCACTTGAACCCCTTCCCAGACCCTTCACACACTTTTCTGAATTCTATAAATTCAAGCTGTTCAAAGCAGACCTGCATCAAAAGATTTCTCCAGTCCACTTTTGTGGGCCTTGTTCCCCTTTATTAATCCTACAAAATCTGGTCCTGAAAACTCACCACCAAAGTAATATATTCACCATCTCAGGCTTTCCCTCCTGTAGGTGAGCAATGAGTTTGTTACCCACCAATTGCACTCCCCCCCTCCCCCCTACACACACACACACACATCACATTTCCATGTTGCACTCTGCTCTGAAAACAAAAAACAAAACACACACACACACACAAAGAAAAACAAACTGATCAAGAGCAACAATAAGTATTCAGTGAGTATGTAAATTATTTATTTCCACTTGGGCGGCAGTTACTTGTGTAATTCAATTCAGGAGTATTTAAATTCCAAAGCAAATTTTATAACAACAGTACGTCTTGCAGAGAGTAATAATATACGCACCAAGATATCATACATGGGAGTTTTCAGGAAAAACAATACATTCATGTATTTCATTTAAAGAAAAGTTGAGACTAACATTAATAAAAAGTCAGTGATATGGTTTGTTAATGATAGGTTTCACAAGCTTTGTCTATTGTCTCAGTTTCTCTTTCCGCAAGGGAAACTGTCACAGGACGAGTTATAGACAGATCTGTAGCCCTGACCCATTAAAAAGAGTGCAGTTTTTTTCAAGGAGCCTCCTTGTATCTCATGTTTGTTCAACAACTCCTCGGAGCCTCTCAGCCAAAATTGTCAGGTTTTTGTTTTTTTAAATGTGGATTTTTTTAACACCCTCATCAACACATATCTTAGATCATTTAGGACGAGATTCTGAATAAAAATTTCTTCCCCGCTCAGGAATCGAATTCAGGTCTCCTGTGGAGAGTGAATGCAATGGCCTAACCGATACACCACAGATACTAGTTAAATCTGTCAATGACAATATAGCACATAGTTAGTTGAGGGGCGACAATTGAGGACAGAGTCTAGCATTTGTGGAGATATTTCACACAAGACTTTCTATGTTGTGGAGATCTTCAAGCAGTACATGAGGACCTGCAGCCGTTCTGTCTCAATTCTAATTCACCTACAAGTAGTTTACACACGTCCATCTCCTTCAGCTTACAAATTACAGACACACTCTTAAAACTAAAAATAATGCACTATCCACTTTCAGCTACCTCTTTTCTAAATAAATCCCCAAACAGTTTTGACAACTGGCACAAATCGAAAACAGATTCCGAAAACGTAAGCCGGAGCTGCCTGGATGTCACCGGTGACCAGCGTAATCAAGTGTCATGGCGTCGCTTCAACGCAGCGCTGGGAACAATCTCGTCCAAAAACAACTGCAGCTTCATAAGACATCTCTAGAGCTCGATGAAATAAGTGTAAATAACTGTCATGTCATGAAGTCACAGAAAAAAAATTCTATAAGAAAAAAAAAAACCCAACAAAAAAACCCCTCCCAGCAAAAATCTGAAGAAAACAATGTCTAAAGAAAACAATCAAAATTAGTTATTAAAGACAAAACGCCTAGCTTAAAAAAAAAATTGATTAAATTTGTAAATGATGTCATATCCGGCTGCAAATTCATTTCATGACAAGAGGCAGGATATTTTTACATCACTATCCAGCTGGAACAAGTCCGTTGTTAGAAGTCGATTACAAAAAGCTATGTTACGATACAGTTGTTAGAGACCTGATTAATGTAAGTATGTTCCACAATACATCCATGACCTTTTTAATTGGGCCAGTCTTTTTAGGAAATGACAAAACTTTGCTCTCACTAGTGGAGAAGAACTGGAAGTAGGCGTTAATAAATGAAATCAAACTCTCGGATAATTATCTGTTCAAAAACCCAATAAAACAAATTCTATTAAAATAACCCTACAGTAACGAGATCAAACATAAGTTATAATAATTTTGACGACATGAAATAAACTGCAGTGAATGTACCATTCTGTTAAGTCTAAAAAGCAACTTTTCAACATAGGGTCAAATATCACATTTGGCACTTCATACACCTGTTAGAAGTATAGAAACATGAAATCCCAACAACCTCTCCGATATTGACAGCACATTTGCTGCTAATAAAACATTATTTGAGCTGAGAAAACAAATCAACCACAAACAAACTGGATAAATGTAGCACATCAAATAAATTAAAAACTTCAACCGTGGTCTTAGAGAAGAATGTGAGGATAGACAGAAACAGAAAAGAAAAAGATGATAGAAAGAGGCTGTTACTCTCTTCATCCAACCACCAAATAAAAACTAATTATCATGCTAATTCAGATCAACAACAAATTTCAACATTTGCAAACAAGCACATTTTTTTTTCTGAGGATGCAGGTAGAAACCTGACAGCCCATGGCACAGCGAGCGTTTACTCTGTAACTCCCAAGAAAACAACAGACTCTCAACAAACAACAAATCCATCATAGAAGTAGTAAAACAAAACCCCAATTTGCCCAGCTAAACCAGAACTACGCATAGCAACAACATTATCCACAAAACATTTTCTGTAACTTATTTTAAAAAATAAAAAGTAGCCAGCCTCAAGGGCCTATAAAACACCAAATACTCAGGCCACAACGGAAGAGGTAGACTATGCAAAAGATGGGACTGCAGGAGTCAAGCGAACCCTGAGAAACTACAACATCTCAATTTTGACAGCAGAGCTGCAGTTGACTTACCACAGACAACTGCATCTCCCCTTGACACTTGGCGACAACAGGGGACGAAAAAGTAAAGTAAAAGTAAGTTTAAAAAAAAGAAAAAAGTAAAGAAAGGAGATTCTCACCAACTGGCAACAGAGAGAGTATTCACACTACCTAAATCTATAACACCCTTAAAGTAAGAGGTGGTCCCTTCTGCACATCAAGACAACCTATAATACTTCACTAATAATAACTTAAAATCTCGTGTAATGCTGCTGTATTTTCTTTCTTTCTTCTTTCAGGTATTTTGTATTTGACACCCGGTTGATTAAGCTCACACATAATTCACACAAATAAAGCACCAGCCATAGGGTGCTCGCACCGCACCGTGAGTCAGCACAAGAGAACAGTGCAAGCCTCCTCAACAAAGTCGGCGGTTAGCTTTTACACAAAAGAAGGCCACAACCAACTTGGTGTCATCACATCACAGTAGTCGCATCTTAGGACGAAGTGTTGGCACCAGCCTCGATTGCTTTCTGGTGTGTGTAGCGATAGCTGTTGATTGAAAATAAATAAATAAATAAAAATAACAGCAAGTTAATAAACAGTAAACACTGCATCAAATTTCCTAACACCACCTCTTATTTGATAGTGAAAAAAAGTTGTTCCTGCATCCGATCCGGACATTGGGGATTGCCTTGTTAGTGAGACAGCTTCCTGGGCCTTCAGCGTATTGTGGTAGGGTGGCCAGTTCCTTTCCACACCGCCTTTACTTCCCCAACTCGAAGTCAGGTACCCATTACTGTTGGGTGGGCAGGAGGGGGTGAAAAACATCCGTGTCCGAACCAAGGCTCGAACCCGGGCTTTCCGCTTCAGAGACGAGTGCACTAACCGCTCCGCCACAACACCCTCTATTTTATGGTAATGAAAACTAATACAATTACATGATAATAAATGTTTAAGAGCAGACAGGTACTCGAAACAAATAGCAAACATGGAATTGAACAATCATAGCTGCACATCATAAACTTAATTGGTAAATTTAAAAACACGGGATGTTTCAGCCAAATTAGGAATAGTCGGCAACTTAATTAACAGTGTCAGTGTCTCATTTCCTGTCCCACGGTGTGTGTGTGTGTGTGTGTGTGTGTGTGTGTGTGTGCGTGCGTGCGTGCGTGCGTGTGTGTGTGTCAGGTGTCCAAGTTGTCTTGTACAATGCTTTGAAAAACTTGAAGCACATCAACACAATAACCATTATCTTGTGTTAGGAAAAAAAGCAAGACAGAATACACAGAAACCACAGAAGAGCAAAGTAAAGAAGTAAGACCTACCACTAGTGCTCCCCTACCACCCACCTAAATTGTGTCGATGGGGGCATAAAATGTTTACAATAGAAGTTAGTTTTTGACACAAACTGGCCACTAAGAAGGCACAGCATATGACACAAGGGTCAAAGAGGGCAAAATAGGAAGAAAGCAGAGGTGGTATATAACTAACTATTGCACTACAATATCATTTTGGCATATATTCTCGATCAGAGGGATCATTCGGTACTTTCTTTCAGCGTGTAGTGAGTCTATTGTAGGCCTAACCTTAAACCACTCTGGGGATTATGCTACAAGCCATTCTAAAAGCATAAAACTGTGAGAACACAGGACTTTTCCTACAGTTGTATTCAGCTCGAGTATGGCTGATGACACAGCATTATATCTTTATAACTTGTTTAGCATATTACTACCTAAGTGCTTTCTTGTCGTATCTCCATTTTTTTTTTTTAAACAGTGAAAACGTGACTTCTTCTTAAGCTCACTCTTTGTTATGAACTTTTCACTGCTATTAACAATGGAGATACGACAAGAAAGCACTGAGGTCGCGATATTTTTGTCAGATTTCTATTCTAGTTTCAGATACAATCTTTTCAACTTGGAGAGAGGAATCCGTGCTGAATTTCGGACTGCAGCATAAGCTCATCTAGATATACAGAGGATATAACACAGCTACAACACCAACAGATTCCAAAAATCACTCTTTTGAATCTTTTTTTAAAGTAAGAGTTTCACAGCACTTGTAACAGAATTAGGTCAATACAACTGCCCAATATTTTGAGTTAAACAAAATAACACAAAAAACCCGAACAACTTTTGCTTATAAAAGGAGTAATAAGAACATTGGTCCATGTTGTGACCATTATTATTTTGTAAGAGTTTTACGGCATTTGTAACAGGATTAGGTCATATATGCTGAAGATTGTTGTGTAAAACAAAATAATACAACACCCCCCCTCCGCCAACCCCCCCTTCTGTTTACCAAACGACTAAAAAGAGTATTGGTGGATGTTATGACCATTACTATTACATATTTGAGTTCGAGAAAGGTTTTTTTTGGGTCTAAGCTACAAGGAAAATGGAGCAGAAAAAAGACATTACTGCTTTTTCAAAATAGAACATCCTAGCCTGATGTTTTCTCTTATGATGTGAGCTGACGCAAACCTAAAGCTCCTATGATTATGATATGAATTTGATATGAACTGAGATGAACGAGAAGATGAAAAAATACCAGATGACACATGGGAATGATCAGACACCTTAACCAAATATCCAGTTCCACTTCCATAAGAAATTCCGACAAAATACAGTACCGGTGCAGGTACACAAAAGAAGCCAAGTCAGCAGTCTCCACCAAACAAGTAGATGGTTGATGGGCGCTCTGGTGTGGTTTTTTCTTTCTTCTGATCAAACATTTATCATCCTTATCTCTCCTCCTTTTTTTTAAAATGTTACCCTCTAGAAACACCTCTAATCTTCCGCACTTAAATAACCCATTTGTGTTGAAAGAGCCATAAAAACTCTTACTAAAAGTAATAACGACTAAACTTCTCATATAAAAAAAAAACAGAAGGAAAAAAAACTATTCAAAACCACCCAACAAGGTAGACAGTTGGCTTTAGTAAGTGTTTTACAGCATTTGCAACACAATAAGGTCATACATAAGTGCCGAAGAATAGATGTGTTACAAGAGAGTAACATACACAAAAAATAAAGAGGAGAGACAAGGATGATAGACGTTTGACAACGGGAAACAAGGAGCAAACCACACCAGAGCACCCGCCAACCACCTGCCAAATCAGACACTTAATGAGTGAACGACTTACTGGAGAGCTCTGGCCAGTTGCATGTAGCCTGTGAGGCCCACGAAGACGTTGACCGTGAAGAGACTGATGTTCTTCGGGATGATGATCAGAGAGTAGCGGGCCCAGATGGTTCCTGGAAAAGGAGCACGGGACATTTTGAGCAGCAGTTTAATTTAGTTTAAAGTAAGAGTTTAACGGCATTTGACACCACAAATAGGTCATATAAGTAAAGAATATTAGAGTTGTTACTAAAAAGTAACACTTGTGAAGATTAAGGTGTGACAAGAGAGTAACACTTGAGAAGATTAAGGTGTTACTAGTGAGTAACATTTGCGAAGATTAGGAATGATAGAGGGTAATGTATAAAGAAAAGAAGGAGAAGAAATGAAGACGATTATAAAATCCACTTGAATAATTTAATAAGCTGTGTATGCTATCAACAAAGGCAACTGTTTCTCACCTGTGGCTGCCAACGCTGTAGACTGGTAAATACTCAGTTTCTCAGCCGGGCGGCTAAGGTCACCAAGGCCAGCGATAACCAATGCCTGGGGACAAAATTAAAGAGAAAAACGTAAAGATTATTATCATAATTATATATAATCATTCTATAGCACACAATATCTGTTTATGATGACAATACAATATCAACAAGAGCAATAACACATTATTTAACAAAAATCTCTTACCCCGCAGCAATCCAACTATCTTAACTCCTTTTTTGTGAATTTAAAAATAAATATCACGGTGGGCCTGCCTTTTCCTGCCTCAACAAACAAATAATTTTTTTTTTTAATTTATTAAAAAAAAACCCAAAACCCAGACATTTATTAAAGTCTTGCCAGATCACAAGTGTTTTACGGACAGTCCAACCTCCCAGTATATAACAATGGTTCAGACTTTTAACTCCTTAGAGGACCAAAGACGTCCAACTCCGAACCAAAAGGATGATGATTCCTCACTCCATATTAAGTCCTCTTCTTGACAGGGAAACATGCCCTGTTGTGAGAAAACAACAACAACAACCCCCCCATCCCCACACACACGCATAAATATCTCTTCAAACAATCATTTCATATTTTAGTTCAAATTTTCAGTCTAGCACGTACATATCCAACATACACACATATATATAGTGAACAAGTTTTCAGGTCCTGTGTTTCCTTATTTGTATCTAAAACAAGTACATAAAGAGAAATTCGTTCATAAGGCAAAGAAGATTTTGACACCTCACGAATTTCGCTATGTGTGTGAGCTAGACTGTAGTATTTTATTCATCCTCTTTACAAGCAAACAAAGTAAGCACATTTATAAGCTGCTGATGAAAACACCAACATACACACTCAAACTCAGTTTTCTTTAATTACAGAATCAATCTTACCCATTTTATTCCTGGGGCCCAAAAGTGAACAGTCTTGGGACCTATATAAAAGAACACAAAAACATTTTAAGAATAAGAGACTGTTTTCAATATAGTCATGTCTTTACAGTTCTCAATCAGAAGTTAAAAAAACAAAAAAATTAGTTTGCTCGCAGCTATAGTTTGGAGCAGATCGGCTGAAACACAAGATCACAACAAAAGATGGAGAATGTTGGAGAATCTTTCTGAGTAGAGTAGTAGAGGTAAGCAAATCAACACAATAACATAATGGTAATTTAGAATTCAGTGCTGAAAACAGCAGTAAGGACAGACAGACAGTTAAACCAGAGGCCAGAGGAATAGCGAAGATTAAGATCCTACAGTGGACACCCTCAAACCACTGGCGGTCATAAAAGAAAGACCTAAAAGACTTAAGACAGTAGTCCCCCCCCCCCCAATAACCAAAGGGGGGGGGGGGGGGAGAAAAACCCACAAAAGAAAAGGAAAGATGTAGACAGTAATGGTACCATTTCTAAATGGCATTATATGTATACAGTATACAGGTAGTTGAATCTGTCCAAGAAAACTACTCATTATTGAGGAGAAAAGTGGTCATCTTCTTACACTGGTGGTCCTCTAGGACGGTGTCACCAAAAAATGTGTCATAACACGGTGGAATCAGGCGCTCGTCAATTTTCTGGCACATGGAGATATTGGCATCATCTTAAAGCTTGTTCATTTGTCTTGCATATATATGGCAAAAAAAAACCCCCAGTCTATCTGGAATAGAAGTCGAGATATTTGGGATTAAAGGTGCTGGGGTGGCCAGCTATAAGAGGTAAAATTAACAGGAAAATGGCCGTCAAAGTTTAGTGACTTCCGAAGCTTGAGTGTGCCTGGAAACAGAAAATTTACATTTTTCGTGCCTTTAATGGACGTTTTTCGGTAACATCCACACTGACATGTGTTTTTGAATGAACATTAAAGGTGTTGAGCCGAAAAAAGAAACTTTGAAAAAAAATATTGCCCAACAACCAGAAAAATGCTGTTTTCTTTTTTAATTTCATCGTTTTGACGAGCACCTGATTTCACCATGCTGCCTCACATTACATTAGAGAAAAAAACCCAAACCCACCGGGGAGGGGTGGCGGAGTGCAAAGTGGTAGTTTATAAGTTTGTATAGGTGACTGTCTTGGATAAGTGGTGGATAGAGAAGGTTGCACTGTATTCAACAACTTGGGGCGGAGTACAAATTTCCATTAATTTTACTTCCACAAGTGACTTTGTAAAAGCTAAGGGTGTGGACAGTTTTTAGAGATTTTTCAAAATACAAAACAAAATCTAAGACAGAATCATGAATAATTATACTATGTCCAAGAGCTCTCTAAAATGGAAATCCCCAAACCCCCCCCCCCCCCCCCAGCAACACCCCAACCAAGCCAACACTTCCTGGAATTAAGATTCAACTCAAAGATTCCTTTGTATTGGGAGTATTGGTTTTTCAACCCTTGAGAGAGGTATTGATTTTTTAATCCTTCTCTGGAACGGAATATTGATTTTAACCCTCATTATCAACACTTCGTCTTGAATTTCACATTATATATTGAAGCACCAATTAAACATAAAAGAGATTTTAGTGTGTGTGCATGTTCGTTTGCAAACACTGACAAAACAGAGGAGTATGATGACCAGATATTAGGATCTCACTCGATTATTAATGGTCTTGAGAGCACCAATGACAAAGGCACGGTTGGGTAGTTTTTGGGGGGTTTTTGTTGGTAACACAGATTTTAAAAATGTTCTTTGCTTCTACACTAAACCCGAAAAGAAGTTTTAGACAAAGAAAAACATGTAATGGAAAGCCTTTGAGCGCCCAACAGTTTGACAATGCGCAGGTCCTGTCTATGCCATCTTGAAAATTGGAATGAACAAGCAGGTCAAAGGAAAACTAAAAGATATTATATTAGTATTTGTGAAGTTGAATGAACCTTACTAGGGCAATGGGAAGGTAAGATGGTATAAAACAAACAAAATGAGAGAGAGAAACAGAGAGAGAGAGAGAGAGACAGAGAGAGAGAGAGAGAGAGAGAGAGAGAGAGAGAGAGAGAGAGAGAGAGAGAGAGAGAGAGAGAGAGAAGGGGGTGGGGAAGCAGAGAGAAAGAGACAGAGAGAGAAAGAGAGAGTAAGAGAGACAGAGTAAGAGAGAGAGAGTAAAAGAGAGAAAAAGTAAAAGAGAGTGAGTAAATGGGAGATAGATGGAGAGAAAGAGAGAGAGAGGCAGAGAGAGAGAGAGAGAGAGAGAGAGAGAGAGAGAGAGAGAGAGAGAGAGAGAGAGAGGGAGGGAGGGGGGGACAGACAAGGGGCATGGTAGTTGTTGAGAATGCTAAAATTGTGTGATTACAAGGATCATTATCATCATGGAAAAGCGGCTGCTTAACAGCTACCCCGTGGAGAGAGCAGATAATATATGCTGACTGACAAAAAAAAGTTTAGAAAAGGAGAGACATTTTGATTTTTTAAAGTTTCATTTTATCTTCACTAGGATTAAAAAAAGGAGCTCGGATGAACAGATGGATGGGCCTACACATTACCCAAGCTAGTAACAATTAGTCATTGTAGGCAATACGGCCAATTAGCGTAAACAGGAGAGTAAAACCATTGACATTGCAACGACACTTGTAATCAAAATCATTAGATACTGCACCAGCAGCATATTTTATAATTGCATTGAATTTCACATACAAAGGCAAAGAGACAGAATGAATATCATTATCAAACACCACAGAAAATGAATGCCAGGCCAACCAGGGGGAAGAAGAAAAGCGGGCGATAGTGTCAGAAGCAGATGAATAGGCAACCTTTTAAAGCTGAAGAACAGTCTAGAATCTAGATCTATGGCTAAAGAGTACTCAGACTAGAAAAGAGATTGAGGGAGTCAAGGAAACCCTGCGAAATAATATAATAGAATCCCAATTGAAAGAGCAACAGAGCTGGCCTACCATAGTAAACTGCATCCCCTCAACGCAACTTAATTTAAACACAACAGAGGATGAAAGTAAAAAGGAAGTGATTATTTTATTCACACCGGGAGTGCGCATTATAAGAATTAATTTTATTCACACCGGGTGTGCGAATAAGAATTAATATTATTCACACCGGGTGTGTGAAAATAAGAAATAATTCTACGAAGTGACTATTTCTCCGAACGTTCGGAGAAATAGTGCCGATCTTTATTTCTCCGAACGGTTTTCGGCTTCCGGTCTCGTGATTTTTTGCCTATTTATTGCGAGAGTTCGGCGCCAACTTTCATTCTGCCTCTGGTCTGGGAAGGAACACGTACCGCATGGCAAGCCCGCCTACAGACAACCTTCAGTAACACCCACCACACACCCACCACCATCATGCACATGTACACACACTAACTAAACATAACTAGTGGGCAACTTTTGAACGTATGACGAGCTGAACTGTGGATGGAGAGACAGTGTGAGTGAAAGAGCGGGTGAAAGGAAGAATGTGCGAGTGTATCCACAGGCGACAGCAACTACAAGACGACGACACTGACCACCCCTGGCCTGGTCCACAGCTCACGAACAAAAGGAATGCAGCTCAGGCGGTGTTTTGCCTATATTATTGTCCATGGTTCGCAGGGAACAAGTGAGATTTTCTTTGTGTGTGCCTGGAGGGATGGGGTGGGGTATGAAAGTCATGCGGACGGGGATGAGCCGCGGGAGAGAACACGGGAATTGAATGAAAGAGTGAAACTGAAAGAGACGAATGACTCATGAGTCCTGGAGTGAATGGATCCTGTGTTTCTATTTTTGTATACTTTGAACTGTTACTGAATAAAGGCTGAAATAAAGCCCGAAAAACAAACAAACACACACACACCTCACTCTCCACTTACTACCACACACAGACACACTCAAACACTCACACATACATACACACACACACACACACAGGAGCAAATTTTTGGGTCTATATCTATTTCAATTTTCAACAGCTAGTCTAGATGAGATTTTTAGATGAGTGTAAAAACGTGAAAAAGAAAGGTTTCACAACAGAAAGAAATCAAAATTAGAACAGCCCATAAACAACAACAAACATTAACAAATAAGGGCGTGTGTCCACCTGTCCGAAGAAGATTGGCAGTTTTAACCCTAAATGTGCGTAATTTTAAAAAAAGTACAGGATATTAGATGTAAATTATGGAATCACACACATTAAGGGGCTTGCCAGTGTCAGTACATTGGTCGCAGAAGTGACAAACGCAGATGCCAGTTCTATGTGTCGTTATCAATAACCCTCCGTAGATCTAGATCTAGATCTAGACAGCACACGAGTGAACACAACACATTACATTTAAAAGCAGCACCTTTCATAGGCAACACGTCATATCTATAGCGAAAAACTGTTTGGAATTGTAGCATTTCTTTATATAAATATTTACGGCGGACATTTTTTGGACCGATTGAACCATATTGTATACGAACAATCTTTGGTAGGCCCATACTATAATTATAGATCTATATAATATCCGAAATTTGGGGGAAAGGATGATATTTCAGAGTGTTCGGAGAAATAGTGCCCAGCTTTATTTTCCTGAATGTTCGGAGAAATAGTGCCCAGCTTTATTTTCCCGAACGTTCGGAGAAATAGTGCCCAGCTTTATTTTCCCGAACGTTCGGAGAAATAGTGCCCAGCTTTATTTTCCTGAACGTTCGGAGAAATAGTGCCGGCCATAATTCTATTTGCACAAGGTCGAGCCTACATTGAATTTGGACCTCGCTTGTCACACCCGGGTATCCCACCTTTTGGAATAAGGCTTTAAATGTTAGAACAACTGTACACTAGATCTAGATCTAGTATCCTACTGGTTTCAGTTTTAGGGTTAAAGCATGCACTCATCTCTCTCTCTCGCTCTCTTTCTCTCTCTCAAGGCCCAAGGAAAATAACACCCAAAAAAATAAGAGAAAAAAAAGAGAGATTAGAGTCATTATCATTGATACAATGCACATGATCTTGAATTCCAATTTGAGTGGGGGGGGTTACGTATCGCATTGCACAATTATAATTAGAGGTCTAGATCTAGATGATAATATATCCCTACCAAAGACAGCACAACAAGATTGTTCACTCAGCTCGAAAAGTGTTCGCAGAAGTCCACGCGTTGCTTCAGAAGAAGAATAGTATAAGCACGGTCTGTTAATGTTAATTTCACTTTTATTGTTTTTCACACAATAGGGTTTACAACTCTGTTCGCAAAGTCCGCACTTTTTCGAAGAAGGCGCCACCAAATTTTGAGGACGGAACTATCTTGTTGTACACGATCTTTGTCCCTACGCGATGAGGGGAAAAAAATGAGGAAATGTTGGGCCCTAGGCCCAATTAATTGCCATCCTTCATTTGAAACCCCCTGTGCCAATTATATATTTTGAAGTATATAATTTCATAGTATTCACACAGTATTCACATAACCAGTGCGAATAAAATTTCATAGTATTTGCACACCCTGTGCGAATACAATTCCATAGTATTCACACACCCTGTGTGAATAACTACAGCCAAGTAAAAAATAGGTAGGTAAGTTTTTATTGACTCAGCAGTATTACAGAGAGGACAAAATATAAATTGACACACAGTTGACACAGTCCTTTCTTTGACTTTGGGAAAGGAAAACTTAAAGGATTATTTGAGAGATGGCCACAACGACTACTGGGTTAGAAAGTGGCTATTCTCACCCGCCCGGAAGTTCTCGCAAGATCTACTCCTCCCCTCTTCTCTCTCTCTCTGTCTCTTTCTGAATACTGTCTATCGGTGTGGACGATCAAATTGACCAAAACAAAGTTAAAAAATGATGTTAAAACACAAAAGTAAATTAATTTGGTTGTCTACAAAGATGCTACGGCTATTTAACTTTTCGAATCGAGCCGAACTACGCGGGTCGCCATTTTGTTTTGTTCTCTCTCTTTCTCTCTCTCACTCTCTCTCTCTCCACTGCCCACAGACAAAATTGTACGCTTTTAGTAGGCTACAAGTACAGTTGTAATGGAACGTTTGTTCACAGCACAGAATTCTACAATTTTTCTCTTATCACAGTGTAGAATTCTGTGGTTTAGGGTGAACGCAAAATTTGTTGACACGCGCACCGGGTGAGAATAGCCACAAGACCTGCCTGCACTATTCTCACCCCGGGTGAGAATAGAGGTGGCCACTGGGTTAACTGACCACAACTTAAAGAAGGATTAAAATCGGCTTTTAATGGCATTAAAAGCTTTTAGATCTATATATTTTAGTAGTTCAGACTTTTGAAGGACTGTCTGCTGAACCTGTTTGGGGTAGTGAAGCATGACGATATGAAATCATCTGATCTTGGATGGAGACTACCTGCAGTGACAGGACCACACAATGCAGCTCACGTAGGGCAAACGTAGACCCAGGATCAGAGGTCCCTGACGGGTTGGAACTAGATGTTATGATAAACTTCGATGATCTAGATCTAGATCTATATCTATATCTAGACTGACAAAAACTAAAAGAAAACAAAAACACTCCGGTCAGAGTCAGTGTGACCCACCAGCCCAGCCCCCACCTCAAAATGTGAAAAGCTTATATCTTGCACATACCTGCTGGGTGCTCCCACAAGGGCCTAAATTTGGTAGGAACGTGTCGGTCTCCTATTGCTACAAGGGTACGATAAACTGACGAGAGAATAAACATCTTTTCAAGTTGTTTCTTGCTACACACACTCTTCTCCGACACGATACCCAACTAAAGCCCTTGCAGTCACCCCTTGACTTGACAGACAGGAAGTAACACGGATCTGATACATGGTTGTTTTTTTTACTAGTATCGAAAGTATAATTATACAGAAGACTATTCGCATGTTTTGCTGAGGTTATGTCTTTAGGATACTATCTTTCTCTAAATAAAGGAAGAAGAGCTCTACTTCACTATAATTGTGTTGTGTTTGTCACATTGGCAAGAAAAAGATAAACTGATTCAAATCTGTAAGGAAGTTAATAAATTCAAGGTCGCGATGAGAATGCTCACAGCTCACAATGAAGAATGGGAGACAAAAATATAATCATAATGGTGGAGCTGTTGGTGGCTGGCAGACAGACAATAATTAGCAGCCAAACATTTTGTTCATTCAACATTCTACGTGTACTGCAAACAAAAAAATATAACCAAATCATTATATATATACTATTAAAGAAAATTGAAGGAATAGGAACGTAAAAGATGTCCACCCCTTATGCTTAAATTTTACATTTCGTTGTGAATACACAGACTCTAAGGAATAAAGGTTGAGTAGGCTGCAACAAGTTATGTGTTTCTAGTTAAATTTGACTGCGTTGTTCCTCTGCATGTGATCCCACTATTGCCTCATGGTGCGTACAATATGTAGATATATTTATTATATTGTATGCAAATAAACACCACAGATGTGCAGATAAAAATCATGACCAAAAACACATAATAGTCGGGATTATGCTAAAAAGTATCGTGTTGTCCTCTAATCGAGAGCAAGTATTTTTGGCGTGCATTGACAACAATACTGGAAGATCTCATTCACTGTTCCTTGTTTCACTTTGACATCAAGGCCTGCCTGCTTCGACGAGCTGAGGTGTTCCTCTCATCCGCTCCACTGCTCTGATTCTGATCATCTCAGTGTGGATTTTTCTTGAGTAGCTTACTTCACACGGTACCCTCCACGATGGGGCGAAAAGCTATTGTAGCTGCTTGTTCCCTAAATCAATGGGCAATGGATTTCTTGGGAAACATGAAGCGGATAATTGACAGTGAGTTTGAGTTGCCTATTTTTTTTTCTTTCAAATTTCAAATTACAAGAGAAGTGACTCAGACTCAAGGACTCTTTACTAAGTCAGTTAAGGATAATTTCAATCCACTGGTGAATACTGTAATCCCCCATTTCTGTCTACCTCCATGACATGATATGGATATTATGGTCGTACTACTAAAATCCCCTTGATTGTACTTGTTTCGTTCTTCTGTTTAATGTAGCCCAACTGTCTACCTCTCTGGGTTAAAGTTAACTCTTTGACTCTGGAATTATTTCTACTTTATGACGTAATTTTTCTAGATCTCGTGAAACATGTAATTCAGGGGATACAAGTATATATATATATA